AGAGAGAGAGAGAGAGAGAGAGAGAGAGAGAGAGAGAGAGAGAGAGAGAGAGAGAAGTTGATTTGAGTTGAGAGTGGGCGTGCGTGGTTACCGGAATCAAGGGTAACTGGTTAGAAGTAGTTAGGGGTTTTCAAGTGTTTTCTCTCGATCTGCTTAGTTGGCAAGGCTGAAGCGAATTTTTTTGTTATATTTTAGGTTTATACACACGTGTAAAAGTACAAGGGGCTGAGGCACATGACTTTATGAGATTTGGAGTCTTGACACATTTTTTCTTGATCTTGATCTTAATTAGAGAAATTTCATATAGCCTTAAAGAATAGGGTTATTTAGATATTAGTCCCTTACATCTTCAATAATCACATATTAGTCCCTCTAATGTTTGAAATTGCTCATACATCTCTCAGATCTTAAGGGGTCATGCAATTTGGTCCCTCAATGACCAAAATATCTTTCGACTAATGTTTGTGAACACAGGGGTTTTGGTTTAAACATAAACTTGAGGGTATATAGGTCCAACTTGCAAAACCTTGGATTTGAGGGACTTATGAGTAATTTGTAACATTTGAGGGTCCAGTAAGGAATTATTGAAGTGTTGAGGGACTAATATCTAAATAAATCTAAAGAATAATAGGGTAGCTAAAAATTTTGACCAAAGAAATATACATGATATACTTCCTCATGCTTATTACAACGCAAAATAACAACCTCGCACACAAAGGTATCAAAGCCCACGTCTCAAATTGCTTCATTAGCACAACGGAAACAATCATCTTGTGTATGTTATTAAGAAATATAAATAGTAAGAATTCATGTAACTCGCCCAAATAAATTGCTGTTGCAAATGTCATCAAATTCCTAAAGCCAGAATGAAAATATGTTTGGGTTTTGAAGTTATTTCATAACAAAATTTGATTCCAGGGGACAAACTAAAACAACAATCTCATATCAATCCCATATCAATCTCTCTGCTAGCTCTTTGTATGTATGTGATTCTGAACTTTTATCTCCTTGTAAGCCTGAGATATAACGATACTGAAATGCACCAGAGCCAGAGTATCTCAGAATTGCTTCATAAGCATAACTAACACATGCATGTTCCGAATATTCTTCAAGAAATATACAAAGTACAAACTCATATAGCTTAATATGCAAAATTACCCATGCAAATGTTATAGAACTCCTGAAAATTGAGAATTGCCAAATCCTGTTACAAGTGAAATCAGGGTGAAAAATAGTTAGATGTTTTACAATGTCTACAACAAAATGCTTCCAGAGTGCCAACTGAAGCAACAATCTGCATCTTTCTTCCTTTCTACGCTAGCTGTTCCTATGGCTGTATGATTTTGATAAGTTTTATCCGTATAAGGCTATGGCTGTATGATTTTGATAAGTTCATCCCCATAATATAAATGTAGAGATCCGAGAAAAAAAAAATAGAACTCATTTTATCATTGGGAAGCCAATCCTGTGACTTCCTGTGGAATCAAAAAGAGGAAACCAACGGGAATGAGAGTGCATATTAGTTGCATGATCAAACCGTATAAAAGGTTTTGGTAAGATCCTGATGAAATGTTCAGCATTGAAGCCAAAGCAGCACCGAAGAATGAGCCTAAAGTGTTGCCGAAGTTGTTTATGGACATGAAGAGAGCAAAAAGAGTCCCTTCGATTCCAGGTGGGCAAAGTTGTCCTGAGAGGATTAGAAACGGCATCAACCTGCATATTGGAAAGAAATCATCAATATTTGACGGGAAAAAAAAAACAAAAACAAAAACAAAAACAAAGGGAAATGCATTTCAGACAAAAAAACAAAGGGTTAATTGCAGGCACACTCCCTGCATACAGGGTTAGCCAGTCATTATCCCTTTTTAACTTTTTGTTTTTATTTTTTTTTCCAGTACTCAGGCCCTCCAATGTCCAAACAAAGTTAAACTCCCAGTTATATGTACTTGTAATACAGGGGTGTACATTTAATACCTATAAGAGAATAGAGGGTCTCTCTTCAACATATAGAAATATCAGAGGATCTTTCTGCCAACACATTGGACCCATGTGACATCTTGAAAATATAACAAATGAATGCATCAACAAGATTGAGTTTACATGCATTATAGTGTTAAGTGTTAAGCACTTTATGTATTACCATGAATATGATGAATGTTAATGTACATGAAACAGAAACTCTAACAATGTACATGAAACAGAAACTCAAATACACAGAATAATGTGTTGCCAGCCATTCTAATATCAGACACACACTTAATAGACCTATTATACCACTATACTATCTATTAGTTCCCACATTATTAAAAGATCATCCTAAAATTGCATCCACTAAAAAAGCACCCCTACATCTTCTTATTTCTTTACGCGAACGCGTGTACTGAGAACCACCTACATACCCCTAGCATTTTATCTGATGCATACTTCAAGTTAAATACATAGCCCTAGTTCATGTCTTGAAGTACATTTAAAGTTCAAGTTGAATGCATAGCCCTTGTTCATGTCTTGAAGTACTGTTATGGATACATGGAGCAGAAAATAACGAATGAATGAATTTTATATAAACCGATAACAAGCAAAAGTGAACTTTCCTATACATCAAGTTCATATGTTTTCATGTGAATCAATATGTAACTACTGCTAATAAAGATGAAAGGGAAAACCACCCTCGAAGTTTTTACATACGTAAACCACCTTATAACTGGGTTTAGTTTTCAATCAACCACATTTTGTCAAATTTTGTGCAATTAATACCTTAATTACACAAACTATCCTCATTAATTACATGTGTAATTGCGAAACACGTGTTAGGCACATGTAACTAATGAGGGTAATTTGGGTATCAATCGAACAGAAGTTGATAAACAGTGGTTACGTATGAAAAAAACTTCAAAGGTGGTTTCTATCGACCTATATTAAAGATGATTTTCATGAAAAATAAAACTATACTCTATGCAAAAATAAATATAAAATTAAGTGGTATACAACAAACATTTGTAACTGTAACCCAGTTGATTACTTAAAGCAAATGGGTAAGGAAACTATAATGAAATATAGATAACATACTTAAACTGGTTAATTGTGTCACCCACAGCTGATCCACCAAGTACCATGTACTTATCAGGTATGCCTAGCTGAATATTTGATCGAGATACTAGGAGAATGTCGACAAGGTTCACAATGGCAAGACCAATGTGTGTGACCCTGTCAAATCACCCAAAAAAGGAAAAGAAAAAGAAATAGATCAGTTTCATTACATAAAGTTTTTGGAAGCATCACTGGAGAATACAAGATATCTAAATTCAAGTTTCTTCATAAAATGAAGATATTACAAACTTCAAGCAACTTGTATCAAACTTACCAATAGCTGAAACCAAGTGTTAGCAACTACAAGCTTATTAAACCTAATAAAGTACAGCTCAAATATGCCAATGAAAAAAATACAACCTTGAGTTCCAGAAGTTGTAATGAAATTCAAAAAATGAATGCATGTGGACATTCAAGAGCTTTCCGAAAACAGGATCATACAAAATCGAATTTGAACTTCACTGAGACACAGAAGGTACTTTATCTCGTAAACAAATGCTTTAGGCTATATCTCTGTCAAGTTTTATAAGAGAACATTCAGTTAAACAACAAAGCCAACAAAATCTACTCAGTTAGATTTTGTATAAATGTTTTCTGAAAAAATATCTTTCAACCAAACAGATAAAAGGGCAAAACGGTTCCTCCTAACAGTAGTTGTACCCACCTTTTTTCAGAGAAAATAAAGAAAATTTTAGCATACAATAACAGCCCATATACAAGCTGACAGTGGATTGTGTAGCTCTAAAAGGCTTGTTAGCAGAAGAATCTTCTGGCCAGTGGACAAATGATTTTGAATTGAGTCTGTATGGCTAGAATTGAACCTGTATGGCTAGAATTGAACCAAATCAAATTAAATACGGAGCCATATGTGCTTGAATTCATCAATGATCTTTGAATCTAAACCCAATTCAATTTTCTTCTTTGAATCCGAGCCGTATTCTAAACGAATCCTCTCCAAAAATTCTTTAAAATACAAAATTAAATTTATAACAAATCTGATTCAAAGATTTAATAGTTTGTGAATTATCTGATTAAATAGGTACTTCAATCTGATTAAATATTTTGATTCTTTTGATGTAGGGGTTCCAAAATCAAGCAGTATATATGTGTATTTGTGTAATAACATAAAATATAAGAGTTAAAGGCATATGTAGAAAAAATTATTTGATAATATAACAAATCAAATATATGGTACTCATACTTGGTTCATTGAACTGACAAATACTTGGAACTATTTGATTTCGGTTAAATGACCCCCTAAATCGAATTTGAACAGATATGAAGGCAAATTACCAAATTATTTGATCAATAC